ATTATTGCAAGAAAAAAAACAAAAACATTTGTGTAAAGCAAAATCCTCACTGTGGACTTCCAAACAAAAGTGCTCTTGAAATCAAATTTATGATTTGTCTAACTAATTATAAGCATAATTTAGCGTATTTCCAATACATAATGCGCGGTAAGCTASATACCACGACTACAATTACAACAACCACTCGGTGGCCTTATTTTGTGTAATCGTATACCTTTAATTCAATTCGCGTTACCGTTATTTAGATTTTTTATCGTACATTTACTTATTATGTTATACTATACATACATACATTTATTAAAAAATACATACATACATATTTAAATGCGTTAACTTAAGAGACTGTATTATATTAAATCGACTAATTTATATTTAAACTTAATAAAGACCTTTAAACAATACAATCACTTATTTCATTTAGATTTAGTATTCGATAGGCTGAGAGTGAAGACCTTTGAGAACAGATATGCTCCAGATTGGAACGCCACAGATCTTAAGAAAACGGTCACTCGAAAGCAATTTAGCCGCTACARCAACAGAAAATCAAAGCAACTGAGGTTTATTTTAAAGCAAATATGTATTTTATTAAAAAAATTAATCAAAAAAAAAAAATTGGAAGACCTTTGAAACCAATGTATTTTCCGGATCGGATCGTCAGAGATCTCAAGAAAACTGTCAGTGGAAACAAATTTAGTGGAAACGAATCAGAATTCACGAGAGTTTTTATGCGATCAAGTATTGCTAATTCAGCAGCCACTACAGACAGAYCGGAAGCAAAACTGAAAGAGGTATTTTTTTAACCTGAAAAGTTTTCGCTCAGAAGCTACTTAGTAACAGCTTTAAGAATCATATAAATTTGTAGCTATACATATTTTCGTACCTTGCATGAAATGAATAGCTTCTGATGAGAGACTTATTCTGCTATGATACGTAGATAAATACTAATTGAGATTTGCGTTGCGGTTTGTGGTCTATTCCCGCAGCTCTCCACAGTCTGTCATTCTAATAAACTCAATAATTTGCTCGAAACCTGAAAAAAAATTGGTTCCTTACTTGAACTTGGAGATCTAGTGCTTRGAGGTTAGTGCTTGTCGTAAAAGTAATTGGGGAAAGACCTCTTGATGTTCCCAGGTGACTGCAGGGATGATTTCTGCGAAAATATCCTAGCAGGAACTGCTTGGACAGGAGTCTTGCTGGACAATCCAACGCTCTCCATCGAGAGTATAGCTTGAACCTTCTAAAACATCCTGCTGGTGCTTTTTTGGCCCCAATTTTAACCCCCTTTCAACAGAATTGTATAGCTGTAGCGCCTTTACTGGGGAGGAGACTCCCCACCAAACCACTACAACAGCTGAATTGTGGCCAACTTTCCAATAACATTTTTCGCGTAGATTATTGTTGTTTGTCATTTTGCTTATTAAAAACTCTACTCTATAAGCATTATGAGCTTAGCAACAGAATTTATTGCAAGAGTTATTATTACCGACTCTTCCATACAGAGCTGCATTCACTGACGTGCGACCGGTTATTAGTAATTTATATATATCGAATACTTTGTCGGGCTGAGTGGACTACATGTTATTAGTAGTGGATTCAACCTAAATAACTGCGGCTAAAAGTTGTGTAATGCAATGTGGGTACCATTTAATGGCAARCAGTGTATCTCAAAATGCTTATGCACTTGTTTAAGCAAATATGTTCACATATATGTATGTATGTATGTAMATATGTAAATGCCTTCAATTTCAGTACAAAAGTAACGGTTTATAGTAGAAAAAAAACTATACACAACCTTGTTATTAACTTGTACTCATGTTCACTATGAAATTGGAAGATCATAAATATTTCGTTATTTCCATYAATTTGTTCATAATCATATTTGTTGTTATTGTTTTGATTATTTTATTACAAATTTAGGAATACGTATGTGATTTTGTAAATAAGTAAATTATGTATTTGGAATTTTTGTAAACAAGCTGGTGAGTATACAAAGCCTGTGAGTTTTAATTCCATTTATTGAGAATGGGAAAAAAGGGAAAATGTCAAAATAAACTGCAACGAAGTTGACCTTGAGCAGCTGCAGAGTGCCATATGACAATAACAAGCAAAACTGAAAATTTTRATTGCATTTGTAGGCGTGAATATTGAGTTTATGTAAATAATTTAGCCTAAAATTATTGTCGAATTTTTTCTGCCAATGCAACAAAAAAAAACTACGTAAATAGACCTGCTGCTTATATTAATTCGGTCATTGTCACTAAACTCTGCAGCATTCTCTAAAAGTATTGGAGAAATATTTTTTGTGACTCTAACAAGAATAACAACAACYCTGCACGGCTTAATTAACAAAACCTTACTTTTTTTAATGTTTCTTTCAAAGTATTTTGACATTTTCCGTGATAAAAGTGAAAGCTTTAATTTMCGCAAGAAATAGCAACAAAGCACAAAATATAACCACTATTTGTATTATGCAAATGTTTGCTTAATCATTTTTATTTTATTTTAACTGCATTTATAATTACTTGAAAAGCCCTAAAATGCAAAAAACGTTTAATGTACACACTAGTTTAAGAATTTACCGCGAAACTCCATGCGATTATAATTATAATATTTATGCACACATACATATGTATAGCATTCTATGCGTTTGTGCTTATACTACTAATTTTTTTTTATACGCGAGTTAATATTTTTTTATTTCAATTTAATATTTATTATGCGAGAATATCATTTTTTAATAATTTAAAATGTTTTCCATATATTTGTGTTTTTATATTATTTTTTAATTGCGTATAGCATAACTACGCAGCGTGTAATTTATAAATATAGTAGTGGTAAAAATGAATTGGTATGCATTGCTGCATAACATTTACATTTACAAATATTAAAAAATAACGGAGAGTAGAGTTACTAAATGTATGCGTTAGAAGTGGTGACAGTGGCCAGCAGCGCGTTTTAAACAACCGACGCGACCCATTTAAATTTGCTGCTACTCTGCACTTCGTGATGATAGAAATTACATTCCAATTTGTTGATGCAATTTTTGCCAAAACGACATGGCTTGGGATGGTAGAAGGTGCAGCCCACCTTTGTGCAAGTGGGATAGTATTTGCACATGGTGGTGCTGGCGGCTGCTGTGGCTGAAATTGATTTATAGTTCTGCACAGGCACGACATGTGAAGCTGAAGAAGAGAAGTGAAAGAAATAATTAATTAGTTTGACAACTTGAGTTAAAACAAAAAAAAAAAAAAAAAAAAAAAAAAAAAAAAAAAAAAAAAAAAAAAAAAAAAAAAAAAAAAAAAAAAAAAAAAAAAGAAACACAAAAATCAGTTGCACCGAGGCCATAACACCTTTTCACAAATACAAATTTGCCACACAAGAACTTTATTTGATCGTTCTCAGTTTGTATGGCAGCTATACGCTATATTAACACGATTTCGACGGTTCCGAAGATTGGTTTGTGTTTTATCGTGATTCGAGTTAGGGAAGTTCAAACGTATATATATTTTAGTGCGTCTGACGATTTTTTCCGAGTGTTACAGACTTCGTGGCAAACTTAATATACTCTATTCAAGTTATAAATATACACTTACATAAGGGGGGCGCCTGTGGCACCAGCTGCGCCGGATCCCTGGGACCGCTGTGCGCATAATTACAATCCAGATTTGTGCAAGCGAGATCATATTTGCAATGCGGATGCGAGTATAAGCATTTGTCGGCGAATTTGCAATTCGGGAAACTTTTACACGGTGCAGTCGGGTGATAAAAGTCGCAAAATTGTTTGGTGCAGTTCGGATGGTATTTACAGCGCTCCTTCGTTTTCATAATACGCCCAGCTGACGAGTCCAAAGTGACAGAGCTCACTGTTAGATAAAAATACATATTATTTTTACTTTGAAATTGGCTTAAAATTACAACAAAAATTTACTTACACGACGGTATGTTGTCGTACTTTTTCGCCTCCACATTGCGCGTTGAAATCTTGCGTCGCTCCTCGCCRCTATGTCGCTCCGCGGAATAATCACGTGAGGCTGCACGTTCGCGCTCACGATTGTGTAGTTCGTGTTCGCGTTCACGCTCACGCCCTCTTTCGCGCATGCGTGTGCTATCGTCGCTTTTGGAACGCCGCTTATGTACCGGCTGCTCCACCACYTCATCATCATCAATATCGCTGTCGTCCATGGCATACGCTCTGCCCTCATACTGGCTGCTGTTGGAGCTGCGTTTGCGTTTGGGCGGTGTGCGTGACTCCTTGCGCGTGTCGGTTTTGCACAACGTTGGTGGCGTGGT